AATGACAACAGAGGGAAACGGGAAGAGCGCTGCCAAGGGATAGATACAAGGGGCTGGGAGAGGCAGCGAAGACCTCCGCCTGGAGCGTCAAGGGAGGTGTGGTGGATGGGGTGGCATGGGAGCTTCCCTCGTCTGGACGAGCAGGAAGGAGGGGATGGTAGAATGGAGGGAGAATAGACAACAAGGAAGCACAGGCATATAGGCTCTGGGGTGTGGCAAAGGATCAAAGCCCTCTTCCAAACATTGACCCTGGACCCAGACCTGGGGCCTGACACTGGGACAGAGTATCACTTAATTGTAAATGGTAATCATAGCCAGGAAGACAAACTTGCTGATTCTAAGGAGCTAAGAAGAGAGGGAAATCCTCCCAGACATTAGGCAACTGAACAGACACCTAAGAAAGGGGAAAAACAGAGAACCCCATGAGGAGACAAGACTGGGACCCAAGAGTCAATTTCTGCGTGAGACGGAAGCTTAGTGGTAGAGACTAGAGCATATCCAAGGCCTTAGACTGGGGCAGGGAGGGAGGCCCTGGGCCTTCCACCGTCTGCAAGCAAATGCAAGGGCTTGGGATTGAGAGCAAGCCACCTCGTATCAGAGTAGAGGATGCTTGGCAGGCTGAATAATGGCTCCCAAAGATGCCCAGGGCCTGATCTCTGGAACGTGTGAATGGCAAAAGGAACTTTCCTGATATGTTTAAATGAAGACTCCTGAGATGGGAAGATTATCCTGGATTATCTGGGTGGGCCCAGTGTAGTCCCAAGGGTCCTTATAAGAAAGAGGAGGCAGGAAGAGTCCTGGCAGACAAGCTGGGTGACTCAGAGATCAGTGACGCACCTTAAAGATGGAGGAGATGGCCACAAACCAAGGAACCCAGGTGGTCTTGAGAAGCTGGAAGGGGCAAGGAAGGGATTCTCCCCTAGAGCCGCCAGAAGGAGCTAGCTTACTGACCCCTTGAGTTTAGCCCATTGAAACTGGGTTTGAACCTCTGGCCCCCAGAAGAGTCAGGGAATACATTTATATTTTTTGAAGCCACCTAGTTTGTGGCGGTTTGTTACAGCAGCCCTAGGAAACTAACACAGGGAGCGAGGTCACGCTCATGTTGGGAAGGCAGGGGGACTTAATGAAGGGCTTCGAGCTGAGGAGTCATATGATTAAGTGGCATTGTAAGAAGATAACTGTCATGCAGAATAGACGAGAATGGCAGGAAACCGAAGAAAAGGAGACACATGAGGAAGCAGTTTCAGTTCTTATGGAAGCTGATACTGTAAACTCATACAACTTTGGGAAATGGACAGGAGAAGATACCTGTTGGAGAAGTATTTAGGTGGTAGAAAGAACAGCACGTTGTAAATGGGTGAACGTGGAGGATGGAGGGAGGACAGCCTCTAGAAGGACTCCTCATTTTGTGTGGTGACCCCTCAACGTAGTGAACAAATCCACTAGTGGATACAGAGAAAAAAGATGGAGACCACTGATGTCCCTGCAGAATACCCAGGTAGAAATGCTCCACACTCAAGGGAAAATGAGGTCTTGAGTCTCAAGGGAAGGATTAGAGATGGAGGTTGAGGTGGACATAGAAAAGAATCCCCCAGCAACAGTGAAGAAGAGCTGAACATTACAGATGAAATTCTGGAAAATAAGCAAAATGTAAATGATTTCTTTAGAGGAATAAAGGGAAAAAGGAATGAGAAATAAAGGCCAAAGATTTATGAAGAGAATCTGGAGAGAATAGAATCGGGGACATCAAGGGAAGAGAGAATTTTTGAAAAGACAGACCCGGTCAAGAGGGACGAATTCTTCAGCTGACATAGATAAAACGATCACCGAATAGAAAAGTGAATCTCTGATTGGGAAGCCCTTGATTTCCTTCTCCAGAGCTATTTCTGTAGAATGAAAGGAGTTGAAAAGCAAATAATAATAATTTGAAGAGTGAAAAGAAGTTGAGGAAGTAGAGAAAAGATGCATAAACTACTGGCTCAGGAAGTTTGGTGGTAATATGTTGAAAGGTAACAGTGGTAAAAGAGTCGCATGTTTATAAAACTATTATTCGGGGGGAAGATAGAAGGTTGGCGGAGGGATAACTCAAGTGGTTGAAGGGTTGTAAAGATGAAAGACGAAGACGCTATTGAATGAGTGAGTGGGGTCCAAGAGGAAGCAGACAGGGGTAGAGGCTGCTGTACAGGTGGAGAGTTTAGCCTGAAGAGGAAGGAACTCATTACATTTTCTGAGGCATGAGGGCAAAGAACAATGAGAGCAGATAAAAGTCAGGTTAGCAGTGGAGAGAGGGGAGGTTGGAAAATTTCAGTTCTGATAGTCCTTATTTGCTCTGTAAAAAAAATAAATAAATAAAAATAAATAAGAGAGGCTAATCTTAAGCAATGGAAATGGAAGTTTATTTTTCATAGGCTTCAGTCAGACTTACTGAAAGACAGATGTTCCTAAATGTTGGTATGGCCAAACCATATAGTGGTAGTATGACAAATAAGTGCATGATGGATGGAAGGCTGCCTTCTGAGGATCTGGCCAAAAATATCCATCTGTGAGTGTTCATCAGTCAGGCAGAACTAGAGCACTCTGCATGTCTGTAATCAAACCCACTTGGCAAGTTGCCGCCATCAGAAGGGCTTTTCCTACCATTCCCACAGCTGCCACCACCCCTGCTCCCACCACCACCAATAACCACAATAAACACCTGTTGGGGGCTTACCATATGCCCCGCTCTGTGTCAGACCCTGGGAAGTTAAAGTTGAGGAAGGCATGGAACCTACCTTTGAGAGATTTTGTAGTGACTTGTGGAGAGAAGAGGACAATCTTGACTCTAGTGCCTGACAAAGGTGCTCACATAAAGAGGGGCTCACAAACTATCAGAGCTGGAAGGAACCACAGAAGGCATTAGAGATGAGGTCCCGACAGTGAACTAAGCAAAAGTCACCCGACCAATGCCAAGAGACCCAACCTGTAAGTCCTGTGTATTTTCTACTTCATTTCACCCCTAACAAGCCTCCTTTCCTATTCAATCTGTGAGCAATTTTAGGTGCAAAAATAAATAACAGAGGAACCCTTTTCACTAGAAGGTTTTGAAAGTCAGAGCAGGCAAGAACATATCATCAAAGGACTCGAGTCCAACAAGATGTCACTTTTATGTCATGTTGTCACCACTAGTGTATAAATCCCATTCTGGAGCAATCCTCTCAGAGTGCAGAAAAGTGGAAGAAAATCTTCCTTTGTTTTATGTATTTATAAGTCTTCATCAGTTAGCATACTTCACGCTTTTGGAAGAAAAGGAAATTAGCGCCTAGGGAGGAGAAAACCATTTAAGAGTACTAAGCAGACCAAACAAGAAAAGGGAGAAACTCTATGTGACACAGAGTAAGAGCTGGGAGGGGGGTGGTGGTATACATGGACAACTGAGAGAGATCTAAATAGACATATCAAAATGTTCGAGTATCTTCTAAGATCAATAACAGGCAAAGGGTTGTATACAGAATACTTAGGAGAACTAAAGTCACCAGAGGGAGTGTGACAAAATGAACTCCTCCTTGGTAAGAATGGCTTGAGATCAACGTGGGGAGGGCACAGTGCCAAGGTCATGGATACATCTCCCTCCTGGGCTCAGTGTTGAACTTCAAGGATGCTGCAACCCTCGGGATAGAAGCAAGGAATAGAACCAGGGGTTCTGGGGAAGGTCAGACTCATTCCCCAGCAGTCCCAGAACCTGGCCATCCCTGAACCCCTGGCAAACAGAAACGGGAGGAATTAGCCTTTTGGTTCAATCACTAAGCTCTGGCATAGAAATGTAAGAAAGCTTCGCCAGCTGGAACTGGCCTTATCTACATTTGCTTACATGACACTCCTTTCTTGGCAAATTGGAATCAGAACAGAATTTTCAGAGACGGAAGTTTGAAAGGCTACTAGAAGCCTGTGATTGCGTCTTTGAGTTTAGGGGAATCAGGGCTTGGAGGGAAATGCCTGCAACAACTGGAGCCCAGACACAAGCCTCTTGCTTCTTCTGGAAGGAAATGCCCCGCCGCAAGAGAGGGCCTCGTGCCTCTGCTAACCTCTTGAGCAAGACAAAACAGAAATTTGTATGGAGCTTAGACAGTCAAGAGCATCTCAGGCATGGGGGCAAATTTTCCACCGCAGCATTGCTGACACAGAGGGTCCCTCATTGCAGAGGGACTCTTGATCATTAAATCTTAGGATGACCTACTTCTTGAGTTTCCATTGCACTAATTTCATCGCTTGCCCTTTAGCAACTCACACATCCATAACTTGGCCTCATCAGAATGCTACGAGGGTAAGTCAGAAGAAATTCCATGAATGGCAATTCTACATCAGTCTTGGTTGATCAGAATACATATTTGCCAGCCAGTACTCCTCCCATACCAGAAGGTGAATTCAGAAGGTTTGAATAATTCCAATTTCTTATACGTACTTGGACTGAATACTAACTTGCTATCCAACAGTGGACAAAGATTTATTTGTAAGGCTGTTATCCAGAGCTGTATAAACACTTGAGCCTATGGAGATTTCCTCTTAGCACAAATCAGTGGGGAAAAAAATGCGCCTAAAATCAGGAGAGAGTGAGAAGAGGTTTGCTCTGTGGTTATTGGAAGGGGTTGCCAGCCAGGGAGGGCGGAGGCAGGACATAGAGGGGGAGACTGTGACACTTTCCTGCTTCTCCCCTGTTCCACAAGAACAGTCGAACGCTTTGCCCTTGCTATGAGAGCAGAATGCATGGGGCCTGGTAAAAACCTTTAGAGGACTCTGTCCATGATAACTAACACAGTGACCATACACTTTTGACCCCATCCTGTATCTAACGTTTCCCCAAACACCCCAACCTTGGCAATTTTAAGGATGCGCACAGAGCATTGAGGCAACCTCTGAATTATTAGTCCTTCACCAACAGACTCCTTTGGTTTGGTCCCATGATTCGCACCTAGACAGCCATACCTGCACGGGGTGTAGAATCCGCTGGTGAGCTCATCACTCACCTTTGCTGATGTCCTCATACTCCAGCCAGAGTCGCCGCTGCACCTGCTTGTTTGGGTACCAGATGGAACAGGACTCCTCAAAGCCATAGATAGCTTCCTGGATGTAATGGTTGCCAAACTGGTCCAACAAGGCCACAAAATCCCCACGCGATGTAGACCCATCCAGGGAGTGGAGCGCATTGCTGAGGGCTATGGAGAAACATCACCCAAGAGTAAGTGAGGACTCACAGGGTGGGTACCTGGATTCCTGGGCCATTCGGCCTCTAAAGCGGAAGCGCCCGTGTGGCCCAAAGCGATGCTGGAGAGCTGGCTGGACCTATCAGCTGAACGTTTCCAGTTAGCCAAATCAGACATTTTCGCTCCTCAGAATCTCTCAGGCCAGTTGGTTATGTTGTTAACTTCGTGCAGGCAGAACACTGCCAAATCTAACTCCCTGCTTAAGTCAATGTTACTTTTTTCTTTTTCAAATCGTAAGTCATGACCTTAAATCAATTTAATGAGCTCAAATAATGGCGTTTCAAAAAAAAAAAAAAAAGAATAGCATAGTCCAAAATAGAAACACAAATACCAGCAAAGAACATTTCACATCGTAAAATGAAGTCCTGCTTCACCAAATTTCCATTGTGTGTATGTGGGAGTGTGCATATTTCAAGGTCACGGTGTAAAAAAAGTGTATTCTAACCGTGGGTAGTGACCAAAAGAATGTCTGGAAGTAGAATATTGCCTCTGGACATAGACACTGGTATTGGGAAGACAATGGAAGAAGAGGAGTGAGAAAGTCACTCATATACTGCTTATATTTATTTCAGAAAATCAAAAGTATATGGACAGGGAGCTGGCAATTCTGCTCGCCCCCCTCCCGCCTCCCCTGCCAAATCTCCATAGATTTGCTTTTCCTGTTGAGGAGAATTATACTGGTCGGAAGGATAGCCCATGACAAATTTTCCAAATCCAATACCTTCTGAACCTGGCCAGTTTTAGTTAGCCTTCCTGTGTACACACCTGTGTCCTATCAGGACAAGGCAGAGCCTGGCCCGGGCATGAGAGCCCGAGTGCAGAAGTTCACATCACCTGTGGTGTCTCGGATGGCTTTGAAAGGCACATGGCAGCAGTGACAATCCCACTGTTAAGCCCCAGTGCGCACAACACCTGTGCCGGGAGCAGGCTCAGCATGTGAACGGGGCAGAGTCTCCACCGCTACGTCTTCCTAGAATGAGGAGCTGCTTCGTTCTTTCGAGGCTTTTCTGTGCCAGCAGAGTTTACTTCAGTAAGATTCCCCATCCCAATCCCTTCTTGCCGAGAACTCTTTCAGGTTAAAATAAACAGAGTTCTGAGTGCCCTTGTGTCCTATGGAAATGTTCTACATCCTTAATGCATTTTCTTTCCCTATGCATAAAGCTTTACCTTTCGTAAGTATGTCTCGCTTCCTCTTTATAATCCTGCCCCCTATTTTTATTTCTCTCCTATCGGTGCTGAGGCTCCACCTCCCTGTTGCTGACCTGAAGATCCCTCTCCTTGTCTTGTCATCCCATGCCAACAGTATCATCTGGCTCTAGTTACCTTCTCATCCAACACAGAGAAACCAGACTCTAAAGCATAAAATTCCCATCTGGTACATTCTTTAGCTAGCTTCACAGGAAGGAGTTGAGTAAGGTTCTCCTAGTCCAAGGGGATGAGTTGAAATGGAGAAGCATACCTGCATTAAGGCCTTATTTGTAGCAACTAATTTTCCCCTCTGCAAATTGCACATTAGGATGGCTTAAGTGCTAGGAAAAACTTGATTCAAGGCATTTACCACTCAAATGTAAAGAATACTTGTACAAGGCGCCTCACTGTTCTGGATCAATTTGTCCTGGTTTTTGGAATTCACTGTTCCTTAACTTATTAGGTATCTAGCTCTCTTGCCTATCGTCTATCTATATTTCACTCACTTGCTGTTTAGGGACCATAAAAGCTGTTTTCTATCCCCTCCCCGCCCCCTCCTCTTTCTTGCTCTTTTTCCATATTTCTTTCTTTGTATGAAAAGTCTAAGTGATGCTCTTTGCATTTGGAAGGTTTTATTCTGTCAATTTATAAAAAGTCTGCTTTTGCATATCCTCTCTGTACACTGTGTGACCCCAGGAAGAAAGATAAAGTAGGTGTTTATCTTCAGCGGCCCCGCCTTGCCCTTCTCATCACTTCTATAGTCCAAGATAAAACTTGCAATTTAATCTATCTTTAGACAAGGATCCGATTCCAGGTGTTTGCCCTTAAGGGTGAAATCTGAGTGAATAGGTTCTGTATCTCACGAAGTGGCTAGATTTTCGACTGTATCTGCAACAATGGGATAAAAGGCTTGTGCCCTTGGAAAGGCTCTCCACGCCCCAGGAGCAGGGGGAGGGACAGCTTGCTGCCGTGCTCACCCTGAGAGACCGCCACTTGGTTGAGTTTGATGTGGTACATCACAGACCGGACCTTCCAGTGCTGCAACACGGGGTATCCAGACACCTCACTGAAGTTCACCATCCCTGGGGACAGAGGAGACGCGGGCTCAGTGTGCGCGATTGATTCACAGGTCCCAAGTCTACCGGGTTAGCAGGTGTCATTGTGAGAAAACGAGAACGTGTTCTTTGATGGAGAGAATTTCTGGAATCACAGTGACAACTCTCACTTATTGAATCCTTCCCCTGTGGCAGACATTTTGCTAAGAAGTCATTTGATCATTGCAAGATAGGTGTGATGATTTGCACTTCATAAACGGGGACGCTGGGGCCCAGAGAGGGTGTTTGCTTAAGGGCCCCAGGCCACCAGGTGGAGCCAGGATGGAGTTCCAGATGTATCTGAGACAGGGTGGGGTTTCTAACCATTCTATAATATTCCCTTAGTAAATTTATATGAAACTCTAGGCTTCCTGTAACACACATGAGTTCTACTCTTTTTAATAGCTATAGTAATTGACTCAGCTCACGTACCTGATAACATTGATTTTTCTGTCCCATTTAACTGATTTGTGTTCAGTATTTAAGTTTTAATTACTCTGAAGCTGATAATGCTGATTTCTTCCTCTCCAGGGGGGACGGGGTCAGTGTGACTCAGTCATTAAGGGGCAGGGTGGCCCTGTAGGGACAGCCATCTATGTGCCAGACACTGTAATAGACACTTTATTTGTGGTTTCCCTTTTACCAATGGGAGAACTGAGAAGCCAAGGTACTTGTCCAAAGTCATTCTCAACAAACACATCCCTGTAGCTGCTTAGACATGCTAAAATGGGCTATTCCTACTTGAGCACTGTGGAGAAAGAGTGGCATACTGTTTGAATTCTAGTCATCACCTTGCTAAGCTTGGAAAACCAATTTTAGCTTCATTTCTATGCCTAACGTTTGCTATGTGTATAAGTTAAAGGAATAAATATATGTGGGTATGCATGTGTGTAAATGCGTATATATGTATATAGGTAAATAGAATGGCAATATGTATAGAAACTTTAGATAATACTGTGTATAAATATTATGTGTATAATGTGTATAAATATAATGGCAATAATACATACCTACTGAATTATCCTGCCATTGTGACCCATGCCTCCTTCAGGCTAAATCAACTAATTTAATACATAAACTGGATGAAGAGGGGGAGGGATTAATTAGCTGCTTGTCAACTCTGATCAAATTAGCTGAGTAACTGCCAAATTTCCATTTCGGTGTGAATCATACAGGAATAATTATTGGTAAGGCAAAAAGCAAAAAGGTCAGAAGGGGTGCTTAGGGAATCAATTGCTTAAATTTCATCTTGGGCAATCAAAGATAAGTTACTTGAAACTAAAAGAAGGTTTTCAGTACCTTTTTTCTTTCAAATATTCTTCTTTCAGGGCGTTAAGCTTTGTGACAACAGTTATACTACTATATACTCTGGTTTTTCATCTTTAGGTTAATTTTAAAAGCATATAAATGAAATTCGAACTTTACAGGATTAACCCCCCAGTCACATACCTCAAAGGCACATTTCATTAGGGCATAAATGTGCATGCTTTGTGGAACTATTGTACATAACGTGCCTTCTCTAGTTACGTCAGCTCACCAGCTTGCTGTTATTTCAAAAAGTCTATTAATTAAAAAAAAATAGCAAGCCCAATCAATGAAGACTTTGCAGCATACTGGAAAACATTCCCTTTAATGGAGTTGTTTCCTAGTGGGAAAAGAAATGGGCAGGAAACCAGGAGGCCGGGTTGCTGGAGGGGCGGTTTCTGCTGCCAGCCCCCGGCTGACTTCCTCTCTGGCTACCTGGCTGCCGGAACTTTTGGTTGCTAGAGGCTTCAGCTGTCAAGCGAGAGGCTCAGCTAAGGTGACCTCTTGCCTCCTCTTCAATCCTGAGGTTCCGACTGGCTCTGTGACTTTGGGCCCGGCAACTCCTAAGTTTCCGTTTTCCTACTGAAAAATGGCGATACTGGTATTCATCTTACCTGCTTCACAGGTAGGTTGCCAGAACCCAGTAAAGTTCTGGGTATGAAAGTGCACTGAGAAAAAAATAAAGCATCATGTACATGCACGGCTTCTATAATCCGCCTCATCACCCCTAATTGTGTACACTGGCCATTTCTTCCTAGATGCTTTTGTTATAAATTCTTGGGCTTTAGTTCAGAACAACAGAGTGAAGAAAAAATAAAGAAGGCAGGGATGTAAGGGGATAGGAAGGGATTACAGTGTCCTATGTTCACCCACAATGAGCCAAGCAACTGAGCCCCATTGCTTAGTCACGGAACAACAATCCTACCAAGTGCATCTCGGCTCCACCAGAATCAGGGGGACAGGTGCAGAACCGTCAGTGCTTGGGAGGTGTCTGTGCCTGCATACGGATAATATGTCCATAGTTAAAAAGAATGGGATATTTTAAAGTATATATTTTCTAGCTGGGTCATAGGATTCTTTCTCACTGTGCCCTTGACATGTAATCAGCTCTAGTTTTTATTTTATTTTATTATTATTTGGGAATACATCTCTCAATGACTCTTTTTCCAAACAAAATATCTCTGACTGTTTTCTCAAGAAAGAACATGCTTTCCCCTACCTATGCTTGAAAAAAAAGAATGACTGAATAGACTTCTATGTGAGGAAGGGAGGAAGGAAGGAAGGAAGGAAGAAAGGCGGAAAGGAGGGAGGGAGGGAGGGAGGGAGGGAAGAAAGATTGGTTTCTCCTGCTATTTTATTTGAAATGTCATGGAAATGTATTATGCCCAAGAGTTCTAAAAATCTGTTTCTTGCGATGAACCTGAAGAAGTTCCAGAGAGATCAGAGCTCTAAATCTTCACATAGATTTAGCAATTATGGCATCCATTGGCCCATGAATGTGGCCAGCAGCCTCCTCTCCCTCCTTGGTCTACCTCCAGAGTGTTCTTTTTCTCAACTGAGAGACTCATAATACAAAGGGGCAATGCCCTGACCATATATAAAAATAGAACTCTGACCCATAATCTGCCCCAAAAAGCCCAGGAAACCAACCTATCATCTCTAGTAACCAGCCCAAGGAACTAGTCTACTGTCTGTAAATCAGACCTAGAGAAGTCAGACCACTATCTCTAGTGACCAGTCCAGGAAGCCAAACAATATGCTCTGTAAAAATTGGCCCAACATGTCCAGGACTTGATTGATCACTGATAGCTTTCCTGATTGGTGTTCTTGATTCCAACTCAGGTCCAACCAGAGAAAGGCAAATATGTACCCCTAAACATCTGCCTAGAATGCCTCATTCCTCCATAGTTAGTTGGCCCACCTACATGCCAACAGTCTCCAATAAGGGCACACCCGAAGCCCTCACTTGTTTCCTCTAAAGCTCTCCTACTCCTCTGTCTGCCCTTCAGTCTCGGCCAAGATGCAAATGATGGTGGCTGAATCCTTTGCTATAGCCAACTCTGAATAAGTAGCCTTCACCTGTTTTAATCTGATTGCTCTTCATTTATCTCCACACAACTTGTCACACCAAAAAGTCTAGTGAGGCTCAGAGTTCTTAACTCTTATTTTGATGAAGAAGGAAGCAGCACTCAGCAAGATAAAACACATAAATCAATATTTTCCAGGATGTTCTTCAAACCAATAATTCTGAAAGATGGAAATAGTTATTATGTGTAAAAGGATTCTCTGGTTAAACAGGTTTGGGAATTGCTGGGTCAAGTGAAGTAGAAGGGTTCTTCTCTATAGGGCTGCTGGGGACCTGCCTCCCTAAGCTAAGGTGTTGCAAATTGCTGAGAGGTAGATACTATAGTCTTTCCAAATGTATTTAAAGAAAGAACCTATTTATGAGTGGAGCACTGGTTTTTCATGAAAAAAAACACCACCGTGCTTATAAATGCTGAGGTTGAAGATTCTGAAGATCACTTTAGCTCTAAAATCTTCTAAGCTTGTAGGTTTATGGGGATTATGACCTATAATAGCACTTAGTACAACATGATACTATATTCTCTCTGTGACTTTCAGGAAAGATATAATTTAAATGTTACCAGAACTAGAAAGTTAATATGGGAGAAATTTGGTCAACCATCTCTTTAATTCTTCTAGTCATTCTGGGCTTTAAGAAAAAATAAAACAAGACTGAACCTTTGTACATCAAATGTTAGACTTGACTTTCTCAAGGCCATGAAAAATGGAAGTGATCCATATGGACATCCTTCTACTCCTTTTACCGCCAATATGCCAAATTAGGAGAGGTCCAAGGGCACTGGGGAGAAAGAAATTTCTGTTGTGGACGAGGACCCAGTTTGGATTTGTTCCTTATTTCCAAAGATGTAGATTTAAACGTGGTCTTTTGATGTCTCCCAGATCTAGCCACGCGCTCCTCCAAAAAAGCCTCAGGTAGCATCTAGGACAACTCTATGTCCTCCCAGCCTAGCGTATGAAGCAAAATCTCCTCACCTTTACAATAAATTATTACGTGTGAGGTCTTGGTGGATCTTTAAACAGAAGACACATATCTCTGGTGCGGAACCTGTCCTATTTGTGTGTGTCACATCACACTTCCCTTTATATATATTTTACACACACACAGGAAGTATTCCTCAGCAAACAATGTGGAGACAAGAAAATTAGATTCTCTAACACTAGAGATAGAAGCTTTAGACATATGTCCAAAGGCTGCATTTTAATTTTTTCCATTCAGGGTGTTTGTCTGTGTGAGTGTGTCATCTTTCAGACAGCAACTGATTCTGATGACATTTGTTTCTGGTCCAGAATATATTTAAGTTGTTTTCTCTCTTACTCCCTCTGTTTCTACAGGAAAAACACTATTTGGTAGTTTTTGAATGTTCATGTTCTTTTCCTTCCTTGATATACTTATTTACTTAACAAACATAGATCCCACTGTGCATCAGGAACTATTCTAAAAACTTTACAAATATTAATTTATTAATTCCTTGTATCCATCCTATAAGGAAGACAGTTTTATATTCACTTTCACAGGTAAAAATATTGAGGCACAGTGAAGGTAGGCAACTTGTCCAAGATCACACAGCCAGTGAAGAGTTGAGCCAGGTGTTACGCTCCAGAGTCTATGTGACTGCTACACAGTACTCCCTCAGACAGACCTACTTCTAATCTGGCTCAGGTCTAAAATAAAGTTTTAAACATAACTTGATATCTTGAAAAGGCTTGCCCTCAGCACAATCCATTCTTCTGAAAAGGAACGAAAAAGGACAGAAAGGGATAGATTGAGGGAGACATGGAATGAGGAAGGAAGAGAAGTAATGGAGAAATGAGCAAACCGTCAGTGGAACTGAGCTCACACCCAACTTTCTAACAAGTGATGCTGAGTTCCTGGTTGGCTCCCTTATGGGTCCATCGGACCCTCTGAAGTGCCTTGTTTGGTCCAGGAGGCATTAATGGGTGGTGGTGTGGGGGGGTGATCTTTAGAGGCCCAGAAAGGAAGAGCATTCCCTGAGGCTCCTGCCTATTCCAATCAACCCGTACTAATTCCATAATGATCCCAAGGGAAGAATGTCACTGGGCTCAAAACAGCATTGAGGGGCATTATCTCCAACTTGTGACAAGAGTCATGAGCCCCCAAGAGACTGCATTGTCTAAGGTCACACAACTAGAAAGCAGCGGAGCCATAACTCAAAGGCAGGGTCATTTGACAACAAATCTCTGTCATTTTCTCCATAAGTACCTGCCAAGGGACCCAGTGGCCCCAGTGACAGGTATCTAGGTGATGGTAGCCGTCCACCTTCTCTCTGACTCTACTCCCCGTAATCCACTGAGACCTCTGAACTTCTACCTAACTATTATGCCATCTGTTTTCAAAGCATCCCAATAAGACTAGCGGGGAAAGGTATTATTAGACCACTTTTGCAGATGATTATATAATAATCTTGGCAATTTTACTGACAAATAATCCTACTAGAGTGTTTTAGAATTGAGCTTTTTTTGTGTATCAAGGAAATCATTGGCTTCAAAATGAAAACAAGAGAGGTCAAGAGTTTTGAGATTATGAAACTGTTGGGAGCTGCCTGGTTTTTGCCAGATGAGTAAGGGCAGGAGGCACACTCACCAGTCAGGAACTCGGGGTCGGGGGTGGGCTCCGAGATTTCCTCCAGGCACTGATTCTCCAGGGGGACAGTGGCCACCACAAGACCATCTGGCAGTTGCTGGTCTAAACCTCGAGCAAAGTTGTTTTGCCTGGAAACAGAAGCAGATTTCCATTTCTGAGTGTTCAGGCGAACCTCACTCCTCGGTGGGCAATCTATATCTCAACCTACAATAAAAAAAAAAATTCTTCCTAGACCAAAAGGTTCCCCTCCCATTGAACCCCACTTGATGGACATGTCTGGAGCAGGACAGGGTGTGAGAGGTAGGGTGAGGGCTAGGACAGAAGAGAAAGAAATCAGCTGAAAAGGTCTACTCAGAAGATCGAGAACATTCTTCCCTCCCTCCCATCCCAGGCCCTACTCCCCGATCCCCACTGCACAAGATCTAGGCAGATGCAGTCTCATTTCTAGACTACAGAGAAAATTCTAGGCACCACAAGATTAGCTACGACACTTTACTGCTTGCCACTGACAAATGAAATCCCAACCTAAAAGGGGAAATATTAATAAAGCTCACTGTCTGTAACAGAAACAGCAACTGACTTCAAGAACAGGTTTGGATACTTACTACTCGTTTGCTCATAGGAGTCCAGGCCTAGGTTGCTATCGATTGCTGGCCCATATTATGACATTCTCCTCCGCCTCCCCACTCCCTCCCTCCTCCTCGTTGCCCTCATCATCATTATCTCCTGGAAAGCATGAGTTCTGAGGAAGATGTACTCTAATAGCTAAGAGAGAACAGGAACGGGGGCCAATGGAGAATTTCCAAGAAATATTCTAAATCAATGGTTCCAAACATTTTGTTCTCAGGACCCCTTTATAAAAGTTTTAAAAGTAAATGAACGCTCCAAGTTGCTTTTGTTTGTGTGGTGGATCATATCTGTCCATATTTACCATATTGGAAATTGAAAGAGAAATTTTAGAAATATGTATTAATCCAACTAAAAATCACAATATTCAACCCACTAAATCCGAACATATTATGAAAAATGATGAGAAGAGTGGCGTTTTTAAAATATTTTTGGCAAATTTTTTAAATGTCTGACTTAATAGAAGACAGCTGGATTCTCACCTCTGCATGCAACTTACTGCAAGATATTGTTTGGGTTGATGTGAATGGAGAAAACCCAGCCTCTCTGTAGTTGGGAAAGGCAGGACTTTGAATATCCCCTGAAAGGCTCTCAGGGGCCCTCGGGATCCGTGGGCCATACTTGAGGACTGCTATTCTAGACTGACTCACACACTGATTCTTCCACATAGAGCAAAACAGAACCTGAGCATTCTCTGGTGGCTTCCGTGGCAAATCTTGTAGTCTCTGCCTGGGCAAGACAGAAATTTATTTAACACTCTACTGTTCGCCTGGAGGAAGCATGGTTCCCAGGTTCTGGAAAGAGGAGAAGACCACGGGAGAGAACTCAACCTGTCCTTTTAGGATCATGTTCACCTTGCTCCAAGGTGCAAAACTTCACGCTGACTTTAAAGTTCTTCAGGGAAGAAGATCCATCAGTATCCCTGAGTAACCAGTTCCATAGACATGAGATTCACCTGAATGTTCCTTTCAGCACTTGTCCTGCAGCCACTTCCTTGGAATGGTTGTTGTAACCAAAGAACATCTCCCCAAAGAGGGTCTGGTTCATGGGAACCTCCCTGCTTTCCCCACAGTCTCCTCCCTCCGGGCAGGTCTCCATGATGAGTTGGCAAGAGCGACCATCCAAACCGAGCTTGTAATCCTCGATGCACCTAACATGGTAGGAAACTCAAGATAAAAAGTTGTTCCATCAATGAGCTATGCAGTCAACTCAACTCAATAGGTTGGGAAGAAAGGCCTCTGGGAGAGTGTTGGGTGGTAAAGATGATGAGTATCCCAGTTTGATTTTTGTCCCTTTTAGAACTCAGTTTCTTAAGCCTACACACCAAGTCTCTTTCCATTATGTGACGGTACAGAACCTCCCATCTTTCCTTTGCAGATAAGTGCTTTCAGAGCTTTAGAGTGCTTCCTCCTCTAAGTGGATCCTCTCCTAGATAGGTCAGGGTAAGAGTCACTGGCGATAAGCTTCTAAGCGAGTCACCACATTTAAATCTGAGATATTCTAGAACCTTTCTCCAGGACCATGTGGTCAGACCCTGCATTTGTTTGGAGGGTAATTAGGCAGCAAGAGGAATGACACTGTGCTTAAGAAATTAATAACCTGCTAATCCAGTCCTGTGACAAGTAAACTAAGAAATCAGAAAGATTGATCATCTTCTAATTGTGTTCTGTTTGAATGTGTCCAAGCCCAGATCATCCCAGATTAACTCCCCCTCCATTCAGAGTAGCCTTCCTGAACTAAACAGACACTAGGGCAAGCCGTGTGAACACCTCCTTGGCGTCCCTCCCCATTAAGTATGTACAGTTACTCTAATGGAAGAGCAATACTGATGTTGGTAAACATGGCTCAATGACCTATAAGTCATTAATTGGACCTTATTTGTAGTTATACTGAGAAGAATATAATTTGTTAGTTCAAGAACTACTTTGATAAACCTGTCATTTAAAAAGCATATGAATTTCATGTGGGTCTCTCCTTAAACTATACCAGATTTAGAATTTATAGATGCTCATGACATTAAAACACATCATTTATTACTATCCATGGTAATTGTTGTAACAAGATAAAGACCTCTCTTCTATATGGAGGAACCAATAATCATAGTGTTAAGTGGGGAGAAGCAGTGATGTTGCCCTTTACTGGGTGACCTCGGGTCAGCTGATGAAACTCTCTGAGTTTCAGTTTCCACATCTGTAAAAGGTGGGGGAAAAAGGCTGCTCCGAAGGGTTGTTGAGAAGATCACATGAGACAACGAACTTAAAGACCTTACAGTGTCCCCAGCAAAGAGCAAATACTCATCAAATCCTATCGTTATTACCAGCAGAGGGACAAATGAGGTCAAATAACTCTTTGTATTCCCCATTTACCACTTACATATTTGTGTTAACAGGAGTCTGCTTCTCCCTCTGACCCTCCCCCCCTCATGCTCATTCTATCTCATTCTCTCTCTCAAATAAATAAATAAAAATCTTAAAAAAAAAAACAGGTGTGACTAGAGGCCTTTAATTATTAAGTGCAGGTGATTTCGGCTTTACATAAAAATGTGAAGGAAATCTTTTGGCAGGCTATCTACAGTGGCTTGGAGTGTGCTAAATTCCCACACATCCTGAATTCCAAATGAAATAAGAAAGAAAGTCCAGTTAGGAACCTACCACATTAATGCAGGCCACAGGTGTGATGGGAGATCCACAAAGGACTCTATGGCACCAGCCTAGGTCTGGGACAAGACAGTGAAGTGGCTCCTTCCTGGAGCCCTAACTAAGAACTGTGAAGCTGACTGATTCCCTCTCAGTCCCTGCTGAGCGTCCCGACAGCTCCCCCTTCCACGTTGCCCCACACCCCCATTCTTCTCGCTGTTCCTGTGTGTGTCCCACTGTAAACTCCTTTGAGGGCAGAGGCCGGGCTCGGATCCTGCTGTCTCTCCTGTATCTAACAGCTAACTAGAGTGTCTGCACAAACCAGGGGCTCAAATGTATGTTTATTAAAGAATTTATGAATCTATCCCTATTAACTCAAGTGGGTCAACCATCACGATAACATCATGGAGACATTAAGATTTAGATCAAGCTTCCATTTATGGAATGGGATTTTACAAGAAACTGAAGGTAAAAGCTGTCAACTGAAAAGAAATAAAATACAGTGAAGTAGAATAAAATAACATTACCGCTCCACCCAATAATCTTGTCATGATTATTCAGTAGGCACTGGCTTTTAGCGACAGAGCTAAAATAACAAAGCTGTGTTATTATAAACATTGATTTTCATTGCCAGGCTCTTAAGAGTAGGAGATCCTTGAGGGCAAGAACTGCACGTCTTTCATCTGTGCTGCCCAGTGGCTGACATGGTATGTGGCATAAAGTATGCACCCTCCCTGACAGGCAGGAAGACAGAGGTGGGGGGAGGAGGGCAGGGAAGGAGTGGGGGGAGAGCAGAAGAGAAGGAGGAAGGAAAGGGGAGGGAAGGACAGACAAGCAAACTATGAGTGTTATTTACTTTATAAATATAACATGAAATGGTCTTTAAATATAATTCTAGTCAGCGGTGTAAATTTAAATTTTGAGGGAACCACACATTTTAAAAAAAAAAAAAACAACACAGAGGGCCTGAATTCTAATCCTAATCTTTCCACTTACCAGTTCCCAGTCTTTTTATTTTTTTTAAGATTTTAGTTATTTGACAGGACAGGGAGAGCACAAGCAGGGGGAGTGGCAAGCTCCCCTCGGAGCAGGGAGCCCGATGTGGGGCTCAATCCCAGGACCCCAGGATCATGGCCGGAGCCGCAAGCAGACACTTAACCAGCTGAGCCACCCAGGCGCCTCAGCCACCTCCCAGTCTTGAGGGAGCCACTTAACCCCATGTGGAGGAACTGCGCTGGGGAATTAGCATGTCTGTGGGAGGGTGGGCCTTCAGGGGCAGAATTCAATGACAGTTTCCCCTCCTCCAAAGATTTCCCCCTCCCCTTCTTCGATAATCAGTTAGTTTTACACAATCTTTCCCACGCTTTTGGACCACGGAATCCTCTCGTCACAAAACACTTTAACATAGTTCCACAGAACACAGCCTGGAAAATCCTGGTGTACCCAGGCAATGACTGTGGTCAGGTTCCTCTCCCACGGGGATGGGGCTACACTTTCCCCGAAGGTCCTCCCAACTCTGATTTAATTTAAAAGTGCTGCCCTTCCAGTCCCGCAGGCTCTTTCCTCAGAGCCTCAGGACCGGCCGAGCGGACGGGTTCTTTTAGATTTCCTTTCCTGGTTTTAACGCGGAACGTCCAGCGTCCCAGCAAGCTGGCTGGCCTCCCGGCCGCTCAACTTACCCGCAGAACATGAGGATGTTGTACAAGGCGGGGTCGTCCGGGAAGGGCGCCATCTGCTGGAGACACAGCTGCTCGCAGCCGCCGTTGAAGCCGTCTGAACAGTCCACCCCAATGTGGCGGTCATAGCAGCCAGAGCTGTCCTTCATGGGGCTCAGTCCGGACGGGCACTGGCACAATCAGAAAGCATCCACGCGGGGAGGTGAATCAGGGGACTGGGTTCTCGGGGAACCGTAACCACTGACGCCTATTTTTAGCGCTCAGCCTTGAAACAATGCATTAACAGTGGAAACTAATGCACGAGTTCCCCACTATACCGGACTCCCTTTAAAAGCAAGTGACCTTTTTGACATCTCGCTTCTCTCTGGGCACAGATCTCACACACATTTGCATTAAAGCCACTGCCTCTGGACAAGCTGGAAGGGAACGTCACAGCAAGACGCAGTGAGGTGTGCTGGCCTCCCAACTCGGTGGAGGCAGCGGCCGAATGGAACAGCACAGGGAGTGTTGCTGTTTGCACTTAGTATTAATCGGACTTTTTTTTTTTTTAACATGCAAACACGTTGCCAACGTTGGTACCAGATAGCCGACCGGGCTGGAGGGAATGGACAGGGCGGGGGCTTCCAGCTGGAAGGAGGAAGTGGACTTTCTCTGTGACTTTGGAAGGGGTTTGCCCGCTCTCCCGGTAGAAGTGGCCATACTCATGACCTCCCTGCCTCAAGGACAACCTGCAGAAGACGCAAGACAAGGCCATCTGCTACATGAGCACCCATGGGTGCTGCGCTTGGGTTTGGGCTTTAGCCCAGTGTCCTGGACACTCTTATTGCGAAAGAATTTGCTTCTCTGCACTGCTTATGTCCTCAGTAAACTCCCCAGGAGTGCCAGCAAAGAAGATGATCCAGCAAGAGATGTCAGCTAGAATCTGGGGAAGACAGAGGGGCTTAGAGAGCCGCAGGGGCTCTCCGGCAGTCCCCATCGTGCACTGGGTCTCACTCATCCGTCTTACTCATTCAGCCCCTGAAACATCCCCTGGAGTATGCAGTATGATCAGCCCTATGTGACATGTGAAGAAACTGCGGGCACAGAAAACGTAACTTTGTGAAAATCCCACAGCTGATCACGGCAAGACCACACACGAAACTTGGCAGGCTGGCTATGGGAGCCAGGACTCGGCTGGCCCATCGTTGGCTTACCCCACGATCAGCCCCTCACAAAACAGTCACGGTTTACTGAACACATCGTGGGAGCTGGGCATTACACTGGCACTCTGGGTATCTGTGGCTGATCCTTCCACATAGGCTGCTAGAGGGCTAATCGCTTGCCCAGGGTCAAGCAGCTAGTATGGGGCAGAGCTGGCGGTCTGTCTAGATCTAACCTGCTTTTAATGACTGCTCTATACACACACTTTCAGCTAATTAACACACTCCCCCAAAACCAAAACCAAACCGAAAACGACTCTCAAAACTTGGTGGAACGGTGTTGCCCCGCCCCCCCACCCTCCCCCGCTCCTGCCCTGCTGCCTGGTGGTTTCTTTCTCTCTACTGCCAAGCATTTTGGCTCTAGCAGCTTGGAGCTGCCGCAGGTGTGCCCCGGAAAACCCACCTCCCCTCCCCGCAAGATCACAGCAGGATATGCACTGTTTGATGACACTAATTCTGCAATTTCCCAAACAAATGGCCCCTCTGTGGGCCCGCCAGGCTCCCAGGCTGGCCCATCCCCTTCCTCTGCATGAAGCCAGCTGGAATGCTGGAAGGTGAGGGCATTTAAAGTCGCTTCCAAGGGCTGCCCCATGCGGTGCAAACCCAGATGTTCCAGATGATGGTAAACAAGCAAATGAGGCGGCTGAGGATGGCCCCTCACGTTTTGTTGGCGCCCCCACCCATCCACTTCCTTGGCCATCCAGCTGTTAGGCCAGATGTGCCACCAGAAGGGAGCTGGCTTCACCACTGTGAGACTGCCCAGGCATGCATGTGGAAGCTTGATTGGAATTAAATGGGCTGCCCTGGTTGCCATGAGTTGTTTTTCTCTTCTCCCTTCTATAGAGCTTGAGAAAAGCCATCTACTAGAGACCACACCAGTCCTCCCACCTCATGGGGTTTCAATGCTTGCATCGGCTAGCACACCAGCCAGGACTCCCATCTTCCTAGCCACCTGCTTTTTTCCACAATGATCCATCAAGCATGACTTCTGACAAAGACTTCACCAAATGAAACCCAAGCAGGCTTTGTTCCAGAATTCCAAAGCTTGGCATACCCACATCTTGCCTGGCCCTGATGTCTAGATGCCCACTGCTTTGCCAAATTGGACCACCTGATATTTACACTCTCTTAGGAGATTTGGAGAGAAGATGCTTAGCCGCCTTGCCCAAGATGCGATTTTTGTTGTTGTTGTTGTTGTTGTCACAAGCAAAGCTAGAATAATAATAACAGCTGTCAGGGATTAAGCCATTCTATGTGCAGGACAATCTGTATGTGTTATCCTCAATGGCAACAACACAGATAGACTTCTTTCACCTCATTTTACAGAGGAGTAAACTTAGATTAAGTAGTAACTGGTTTAAGGTCACAAAGGGGGCAAATGGCAGAATCAGATTTTGGACCTAGATCTCTTTGACCCCAAAGCTCATGTCTGTCTCTTCTCCTTTGCTGTGCTGCTTCTCGGGTGTGAGAAAATGTGGATTCCCTGGAATCCCTAAAGAAATAGAGTCAATTCACTACATCAACAGGTAAAGCAATCCTGTAGATTTGTTGTTTGTTTGATTGTTTTGAGCAACTACCAGAGTACATTCTGGGATCAATTATAGATTTGTAGGTTTAGCCTAATATTCTCCCTGTTTCTCTTTCTTTTGTGTCTCTCTCACTCCCCCTTCTCTCTCTCTCTCTCTCTCTCACACACACATACACACACACACACACACACACACACACTATATTAGGGTTGCACATATTTATAAGGCAGAAACACTCAAAATGTCCAGAGCAATGACCCTGAAGGCAAGACAAGATCCTCAATCACTGAAAAAGATGCAATTATCTTCACTGCACTGTAACTTACTTGGTCTGCAGTTCAGAGAAAAATATTTTTGAAAGATTTCCAGGAAAAAAAAAGGCTGAAATTGAAAATAGAGTTTTCTTCTCAACCCTGGTTGAACCAGTAGCCCCATTCTCCAAGGGGTCTGATCAATCAGGTTTCCCACGGTGTAAGTTTGTTTTTGTTTCCACCTACATGTTCCTTGTACTGTTGTGTTCACATTCTGGACTCCTCAAAATCTGCATCTGAATACAAAGAAAACCACAGGCTCCAAACCATGCCTTCTTCTTAGAAGTATATGCAGCCAGAGCCCAGTTGTCAGGAGAGAAATCCTGTCTCCAGGATGTGCTGACATTTTCTCGTTGCAAATGTTGGCCATTCTCATCTCCTGGCTGGTGGACAATCTCTTCACTTGTTCCTTAAAAGAGAACTGTTTGCTCAGGATTGAGCCCCAAGGTCATACATTAACCCCTCTTTGCATAGGTTACATTTCACAGTCCCAGAGCCTTTATAAACTACAGGCTTAAAAAGAAAACTCCATTTATTATGGCAACAACCCTCCCCCATCAAGAAGGTCTAATAAATTAGCTCATATTTTAGTGACCCCTAAAATACACAAGGTTAATCATCTTTCATGAGATGCTCATGGCTTTTTGACTTATTACTGGTCTAAGGCATCATTTGCTAATGAGATTAAAATGATTTTCCCCCATTCAACTCCTTTTCTTCACTGTCTCTCCCCTCTTTTGCTACCAATGATTATTGGTTGATTGGTTACGTAGGAGTCTAGTCAAATCTCTCTAAGCCTGAGACACACACACCCTTCAGTTCCTTCAGACACACACCCTCCAGATTATGAGGCAGATGCTCTATTGGCAGATGAATATAAGTGATGGACACGTGAGCATGTTCAGGGCCCCTGGAAGAAGAGGAACACTTTCCCTCAGCTGAGCCTGCCTTGCCTTACCTGGATGATTCGTAAGATAGTCAACCATAACCCTTACTCAAAACAAGCTCCCTTTTACTGCATGGCAATCTCCCTTTTACAGATAATGATTTCCCTGACTTTTTGATGGGCTCTGACACACAATCCCAAGCCATGCAAGACTTCTCCCAAGGGGAAAGTTTGATGGGATTAAATTTATGTTTTGGCTTCCTGTCCCCATTTCTCTGAACGCCTCTGAGGCATAGGCTTGGGCTTACTGTCCTACAGAAAGAAAGAGATAAGGTCATCTGTAATGGTCTTCACGCATCTGCGCTCCAGTAGAGGTAGAATGACACATTTCATGGGAACCCATTGTGGACAGCATGTGGACAGAAGGGCAACAGGGTCACTGGGTAATTCAAAGCTCATTAGAGCATAATGCTCTGGTAGGGAAGGTCATGTGTTCATTACACAAGAAAGCGGGACAGCCGACCTCTTGCCTTCCAAGACCGCGGTCTGCTCACCTAAGCACATGCAGATAGCGCACAAAGCAAAGGCATCTTTTGGCCACTTTCAGGATGAGTGTGAAGATGAGGAAGGAGCACGGGCTTTCCATTTTTTTATAGCATTGGAAATAATTTTCAAACTTTCCAAGTTTTAACTCAAACCTCAATAGATAGGCTTGATGAGAGTGAGGATGCCCTGGTTCAAGCTGGGATTGGGGACCAGCGTCCTGCCTAGCAAGTCTGTTCCAATCCCAATGCCATCTCCTACCCGTGGCTCCCAAGGATGTCAGCAGTATGACCACCAGATCCCATTAATATGTCGCCTTACATGACAGAAGGGGCTTTGCAAGTCAGGTTGAGATGGCGAGATTATCCTAGATTATCCAGGTGGACCCAATGTAATCACAAGAGTCCTTAAAAGTGGATGAGGGAAGCAGAAGATCAGAGAGCATGTGCTACAGAAGAATGGCCAGAAAAAATGCAATGTGGTTGGCTTTAAAGATGCAAGAAGGGGACCATGAGCCAAAACCTGAAGAGAGACTCTAGAAGCTAGAAAAGACAAGGCACTGGTTTCTCCCCTGGAGCCTCCAGAAAGGAATACAGCTCCGCCAACACTCGATTTTAGCCCCATGAGACTGAGACACGTGTTGGATTCTCACCTACAGAGCTGTAAGATAATAAATGAGTATTTTTTGAAGCCACTCAAAACCTGTGGTCATTTGTTACAACAGCAACAGGACACTAATACAGTAACTCTGCAGGACCTTATGGAACTTCACAGATCACAAAGCCCCTGCTTTTGTGCTTTCCAGGGAGGGACTCCTGCTTCCCACCTTGGCACAGTGAGGACAATGGGTAGAAGTAAGACCCAAGTTATCAGCAGTGGGTGGCTGACCTCTGCTCTGGAAACCCTCCCAACGAATCACCAACCCCTGCTTTGGGAGGGTGGTCTGGTTTGGAACAGAGTGACTGTGGCTTCTACAGGTCTGTGCCTTTCACGGGCCATTTGTCTCCTGCCCTCAGAGACAACAGAAGCAATAGGGCAATTAACTGGGTAGCAATTAACCCTGTGGGTGTCCATGCATAACTGAGAAACATGTCCTGCCTTCCTCGAAAGAATGAAGATTGAGTGGCCAAGGCGCACCAGCCCCACCTGCCTGACTGGCGTCCAATCAGTAAAATACAACACGGGTGCATCTTCTTATCCCACATCTCTGCCATTTTCCCAGGTTCCTTAAGGGGCTGGTTGTTCTGAGTTCCTCAGCTCTTTCTCCTTTCATGAAAACACATCTTTCCTGAGAAGGCTTTCAGTTCAGCACCCAGAGAACTAACTGAATGGCAGGTTTCCGTGGAGTGGAGAACCATAACGCAATTCTCCCGAACTGCAATTTGGAGCCAGGTCCTCTGCTGTCCCCAGTCCACCTCCAGATGACCCGGGACTGCTCTGCTAACACATCAGGGCTCTGGAACCATCCTGATGTCCAGCTCAGCCCCTGATCTACTTCTCAGGATGATCCTGAGGGTCATGATATGGCACGTCATGTCTCACCCCATCAGTCCTCCTGTCTCAGGGATCACGTGCTTTATGGCCAAGGAAAAAGTCAACTGAATGGCCTGCCAGCCAGTGGGCCCTTCCTTCCTCCAACCGCCGACGTGGACCAGTGACTTTCAGCAGTGGCTCCGATTCTAAAACGCAGCGGACTTATTGCAAATGCATATTCATCGGAACTATTCCTGCTCCCTCCGTCTCACAGATTACAGTGCTAAAAGTACAAAAATATACCAGCAAGGCTACTATGCCAAGTAAAAGGGGCTGGGATCACCAACAGAAGGCACTTGACAGGCAACCCTTCGGGGCTCAGGAAAGGGGCAGGGAGGTGGGTGGAGACGGAGAGCATATGTGTGCATGCGTATGAAGGTGTGAGCACGCTCAAATTCATCCGGGACCAGCCGGGATGGGGGAGGGGTGGGGTGGGGAGAGGAATCCACGCATGTGCACACACAGTGTTTCAGGACTCAGAATGACCCGAGAGAGGAGTGAGGAATGAAAGTTTGAAATCTGAATGAAGAAATGCAGGTTGAATAGGAGGGGAAAATGTGTCTCAGCTGGAAGCTCCATTAGACAGTGAAATTGTCTCCTGAGGGACCTGGTTGGGAAGCTCCCTGTTTAAGACATCTGAAAGTGGACCGGCCAAAGGGAGGGGAGCACTGTGGGACATCACCTTACCTCCTGGCTGCCTCTGGAAGACAGAACCTACAGAACACTTTTCTTTGTCCTTTCCTGATGGTCCTCTGTTCCGCTTTCCCTTCCTTTGATGGACTGGCCAGGTCTCCGCCTACCTGCCCCTCGGCTCTCTCCCTATTCTTTCCTTCACTTTCTTTCCCTCCTCAGATGAATCAAGCTCCAGTCAGCAGCTGCCTAATCTGTGAAAGCATGGGGAGGCCTTAGGGCTGAGACAGTCCCACCCTGGATCCCAGGCGCTCATCCATCTTTGATGGAGCACAGCTCCGGGAACAGAGCAAGTGCTCAGAGAGCAGGAAGGGGGTGTGTGAAAGAGGGACTGGCCCAGCCTCCTCACAGCTTGCCCTGCTCCGGGTCCCCTTACCGGAGCACAGCTGTGAGACTGGGAAGCGGGGGGAGGCACCGTGTTTTCCCTGAGCTGGAGGCTCCTGGCCCTGCCCCAGAAACACTGCAGAACTATGCGTCTCCATGAACCAGACCTCCCTCTCCTTTACGCCCGCTTGATATCTGGCTTTGTTGCCTTCTTTCTCTGTCCTCTCCTCTCTGTGAGGATTGCATCATTCCACCCTTAAAAGAAAGGAGGGCTGGCGACAGACAACAGTGTTGAGGGGCACAAACATGCCAACCAAAAGGCACCAGCAGCTGAGGGCTTCATCTACTCCTGCCTCCCTTTACCTGCCAGGTTCAGTCACTCTTCATCCACAGTGCAGGAACGACCTTAGCACACTCTCAACCAAATGGCCTTTCTAGGTCCTAGCATCCCATGTTTTAGTTCCCATAGCTGATAACAAAGTAGAAAATCACCTTGGGTGAAGTAGGAGTTCATTGCCAGGGTCTCAAAGGAGACATACTTTTATTTTTCTCTACCATTTCTGGCGTAACTTACTTCTTTCATCATTCTGGCCTTAGGTAGGTTTCTCCTCAAATCTCCTGCTACAGTCATTTGACCCAAGACAAAGGTAGAATTTCTTATTACAGTCAATACAGTGGAATTCTTATCAGAGTCAATGTCATACTATTCAGCAGCTAATTATTTCTCAAATTGTTTGGCGGTATCCCTCACCAAGTAGATTGTAACACTGGAAACAAAGAATCCTGCTATATAATTCATGAAATTTCCCTAGGATATTGATAGTACACACAGTAGGTGCTCCATAAATATTTCTTGATTGACTGGTGATTAGCTTCTCATCTCTGTCAAGAGAAAATTCATAATTTATTTTTTTATTATTTATTTATTTTTAAGACTTCATTTATTTGTGGGAAAGAAAGAGAGCACAAGTGGGGGGGAGGGAGGGACAGAGGCAGAGGGAGAGGGAGAAGCAGGCTCTCTGCTGAGCAGGGAGCCTGGACCACGCAAGGCTCCATCCCAGGACCCTCGGATCATGACCTGAGCTGAAGACAGACGCTTAACTGACTGAGCCACCCAGGTGCTCCTTATTCTTTCTTTCTTTATATATTTTAGAGAGAGGTGGGGGAGGAGAGAGAGAGAGAGAGAATCTTAAGCAGGCTCCATGCCCAGCACAGAGCCTGACTCTGGGCTGATCTCACAACCCTGAGATGGTGACCTGAGCCGAAAACAAAAGTCAGCCACTTGATCGACTGAGCCACCCAGGTGCCCTGAGAAAACTCATAATTTACATTAGACAGTGCTGACAGCTAGAGAGGGATCATTTTTTACCTTCTCTCTCTTTTTTTTAAGATTTTATTTTTAAGTGATCTCTACACCCAGCATGTGGCTCGAACTCACAACCTCAAGATTAAGAGTCGCATGTTCTACCAACTAGCCAGCCAGGTAGGTGCCTTCTCTTTTATTCACAGCATATTTTCATGTATGTATCTGCATTACTTCTTACCCTGTGGCCCCCCCCACCCCAACTGATGGGGCGGACGTACCACACAACCAGTGGAGTCCAGCTTGCGGTCTGAGATGCAGCGGAAGTTCTTACTGCAGCCCCCGTTATCCTTGCTGCAGTCGCGCACTGGCCCAAAGGAATCCAGCAGAACCTCCAGGCTGTCAAAGGAGGACGAGGTCATCAGCTCCTCTCTGTGGGGAGACACGGGGGGGGGGGGGAGGGGGGAGGAGTCAAGGGCACTTCAGGTGCAACAAGTAGCATCACATTCCAAGTTCCTATCTAGTCAACCGCATCACGTCTCGCTCTCGCTCACAAAGAGTAAAGATCAGCCATACTCTGAGCCTTGAACTAACAAATTATGGACATTCTCCATATCTGGGAAATGAGCCAAGGCTGTAATGCCTGGTCAAAGAAGGAGGTCTAAACTTGGGCAAGGAAATTAACATTTTATTGCCTGTCAGTCCTTAGGGGATGTGGGAAGTGCTTACAAACTCTAATTTTATGTCCTCTCCCAGAGCATGAGCCTTGGGGTATGCGATATTGACCCAGATAGAGTAGATCCTGGCACTTTGTACTGGGAATCGGAAGGCAGCCTGCCAACTTCCCCTTTCAGCTTGTTGTGATTCCTTCCCTAGCTCCTTGGGCCTTCAGGTAGTTCCTCACTCAGCACCCCATGCCAAGTGTGGCCTCAGCTCCATGGGCCCAGACGCACCTGACCTCCACAGCATCCTCCATCACTGTCATGTCCGTCTTACACTTCGCGGAAGGGTTAATGGCCAGTTCAGCCGGTGGGATCACAAAGCTCTTGCTGAGGGGCAGCCACATGCCCTCCCCAAGGGTGTAGGTGAATCTGCAGGGACACCCAATACCAGGTGGTTACATCTCGGGGACCAGCAGCCCACTGGAGGACAGAGCCTTCTGCTGTCAGGGGCTTCCTTTTCAGCCCTCCTCACCTCTTCAGAAAAGGGAGCTGACGGCCATTCTGTGGACAAGACGACTGAGCCCGAGGGAGGCAGAGAGGTCTACTCCTGCACACCTGTCTGGCCATCTGGGAGAACTGATGGTGGCACCCACTCACCAGCTGTTGGAAGTGGTTTTTACCAAGCCCTAGGAAATCCAATTCCAGTTTCCTTCAGATGTGAAGCTGGACTTCTTCAATTCTAAGTCAGATATAACTGGAAGCATTTTAATTGAAGCGACAGGCTGGCCTCCCACCATCCGCATCCCTCGGATTGCACACTCAGTGGTAGTGGTAGTTGCTCTCTGTACCTGGAGAAACCCTACCAGGGGAAAGGAAGTGAGAAGTTCCCCGCGTTCTGGTTGTTGTGTGATGTACACAGAAAAGCTGAAGCCAGGAGCCCCAGGGAGAGGAGACGAGGATGGACAGAACAAACCTGGATGTATTCTCCGAACTCCTACCCACACCCTCAGCTAATGGCGGGAACCCTCGGGAGTCAGGGGAAGATTGTGTTGTGTTTTTTTTTTTTTTTTAATTCTTATAACAGGGGCTAAAAGGAATAAAAGAATCAATCAACGTTTCAAGGGAGAGCTTAAGGAAACCATGAAAGATTATTTGTTTATTTATTCATTCATTCTATTTCAAAGGCATTCAAATACTCTGTGTTCACAGTCAAAAATAGTCTATGGGATAAAGCCAGTGTGGGTGGGATATCACAAGGCTGTGGCAGTCCGGCGGCCCCTTCCAACTTTAATGCGGAGGGAGGAACAATTGAAGAATGCCTACAATTAAAAAGAGCCCAGCCCTGGCTTGATCAGCATGCTGGTCACAGAGCCCCACTTCAGAATCTCGCTCTTACCTCTCCCTTAACCCACACACTCCTTTCCCACTCCCTGGGGTTGCCAGAGATGCTAGGAAACCAGACTGATGGCATGAGATCTTTCATGAGAAATGTAGCGCTCTGGAATGCTGGCTTCAGAGAATACCCATAGACCAAGGCTCGCGAGATTTTCACCCACTCCCTGAATGACAGCCCTAGGACTAGAACGGCTGAAAGAAGAGAAGGCCGGTGCCCAGGGGAGAGGCAAAACCACTGAGCAAGTGGGATAGGGCCAGGATTTGGGAGATGGTGCCCTCATTCCCAACCTCACTCTTGGTCCCCTACTTCTCTGACCTGCTGGGCAAATCTCCGCATTAAGCAGCACTGAAATATCAACAGTGCCTCTTTCTCTGAAGGAGGCCCTCAACTCTTTCCAGCCCTGGGGACAGAAGGCAATAGTTGGGGCTAGGTCTGTGCAGGGATGCAGGGAGGGGTCTGCACCAGGTGAGGGAGGCTCGTTAGTAGGGGACAGAAGAGGACACCTGCCAAAACTGAAGGCGCCAGCCCCTTCACACACACACACACACACGCACGCACACGCACGCACGCACGCACACGCACGCACCCTCCCTCACCCGGCAAGATTAAAGAGCCAATTCAGGGCAAGTGATTGCCCCAAAGTGCCTGGAATTTGGAACTCAGGGTTGAAGTGGGTGGAAGGCAACAACATGTGAGTAGTTGTGCTGACCCTGCATTTCAGGATGGACATTCTTGAGGGCAACATTACAGTAGGCAGGCTGGGCTGAGGGCACCACTAATATTATAAATAATCTGTCGTTTCCGAGGGAACATACGCAAGTTTGAATGGTACCGGGAGGAAGCAGTTTATTTGTTTATTTGGACATAGAGGTGAATTTCTGTTTTCTATTTTGGTTATAAAATTACAAGTTTGCACAGATGCAGAGCAACAAACCTGGGACCTGTAGCTTATAATTTATGAAACAGGTTTTAGGAAACAGTTGGCAGTTCTAGCATATTTCTGATGGTTAATTTTCCTTTTGGAAGAGAGTCCCATGTCCCTCCATTTCAGCTTCCCCTTCCTCTGCATGCAGCAACAACTCAAAGGGAACAGGAAGCTACCTTTTTCTCCAGCTAAAGCTGCTCAATGCATCTAAGACCTACAGAGCAAAGTTTACATCTTCCAAAGATGCCATTCCCACCCACTTCTTCAGCGTCTCCTTACACCAAACCCTGCCTCACACTTTGTGCATCTACGGTGCAAGCTGATTGTCGTTCCTAAAGTCACCTTCATTTTCTCACCTCTTTGCCTTTGCTCTTGATGATCCGTTCTGAATTTACTTCCCTTTATTCTTTGCTGGATGCCAGTCATTTTAAAACTCAGTTAAAATTCCCACCCCTTCCAGAAAGCCCTCCAGGATCTTCAGGCTCAACTTCAGGCTGAGAAAGGGACGCTCCTCTGTGCACACACATGGCCCCTCATTGCCCCGGAGAGGTTGAATTGTGCCCACCTTTTCCTTTGTCTGTCACCACTCAGAAGAATGTGCTCTCTTGGATGGCATCTTTGTTTTCCCACTGCCTAACACAAATTTTTGGCCCAAGTGGTAGGGGTCACTCCATAAATATTTATTGACTGATCAATAAGGAGATTTAGTTATGTTCTCTAGTTTGCACAGTCTACAGGGGGATATCATCTCCATTTTCAAATTTAAAAGTAGAAGTGATGGTGAAGATTATCCTTCATTTAGAGCAGGACAGGGGTTAATCTCTGGGTGTGAATGGATTTAGAGGTCAAGAAGGATCTGGGTTTCACGTCGTGAGGAATTCGCAAAGTGCCCAGTAGTTTCTGAGACATAACCTAGACCACATTAGCAAGAAAAAACAGTGTGATCTTCAATCCCTGGTGGGGCCAAGGTGAAACCTGTAGAGGAAGCAGTCAGGTGTGGCTGAGACTAACCTCACTTGAGAAACCTCAACATGGCAGGTGCTCTGTAGAGCTGCTCCATTTATCCTCACAACAGTCCTCTGAGGTTGGTCACTTGGCTCCATTTCACTGATTTGTCAATTAAGATTGTACGGAGCTTAGCAACCTCCCAAAGGTCACCTCTCCATAGGAAAGATGGGGTTCGGTGTACCCAAGTAAGGCTCACAGAGCTTTCCAGCCCATACTGGCTCATGTCTATGAGATTCTAAAGTTTTCTTTCCTCTGCAAAATTTACTGAGTAACTCCAAAAACCAAATATAGAACAAACTGTCAGAGAAAAAGCTGTGTCCTGAAATCTCATCTGTCCCTCATTCATACAGATTTGGCAGGAATGACTTCAAAAAGCCACCAAAGAGAAATTGGGAGAGCATCTGGAATGCTTTCCCAAGTTGGGTCTTCTCTCGTGACAGCTGGTGGTGACCACTGCAGTTGATGGCTCAGCTGTAGCCTAAGTCGTGCACATGACACTGTTGAACTAGCTTAAAACTTCTGTTCAGAGGTCAACACTTGCCAGAGAGCGCTGGGCAGAATAAGCCTATACACTCACTGCGGCTTGGCATCAAAGAGAATGTGAGGAAATGGTTGAATAGCTCTTGGCCTGGCATCTCCACTCTTCTCCAGAGCAGGCCAGTCCAGGATGAATTGTTGTTCCCAGTGACACATGTACTCATGTGGGAAGGGCGGTCTCTGAGAGAGAAATCTGGTCTGCACCAATCCCTTTCACCAAAGGGTCTAGTGGAATGGGATGATCCTAGCCACAATGGAAAAGACATCTCTGGGACCACACTGGGTTTGCTGAGAAGACTTAACTGGAGGTTCAGCTTCCTCGGACCCTTTGAGTCTAGCCTGGGCCCTTCCCAGCTTCTTTGGGATTGCAGATTACTAAGGTTGGGTTGGGTATCAAGGTCCTTTATTAATCTGGTTTCAAGTCCTTAGGAAACACCTGAAACGATCAACTACAGATATTTACTGGAGATCTACTGTGTTCCAAATTGTGTGTTAGATGTTATATATTTAAAGCCATATAGTGTACTACCCTTTCCCTCAGGAAGACAACCATTTCACTGGGGAAATAAATAGGCAAGTAAAAATAAACATGAGATAAAATAATTGACACATAAATATTACAGTCACTACATTACAGATATTTGGAGGGGGGAAAGTCATTGTGGGTTGGAGAAGCTTTCGAACAGCGCTTCTCAATCCTGGGTAAAGATCAGGATTACCATGGTGCTTTGAAAGAACATTTATGGCCTGGTCCCACATCTCAGAACTTTCCAATTAATTGGTTTGTGCCGGGTAAGATCACTGGTCATTTCTGAAGACGACTGGGATTCTCCTGGAGGACCAGGGTGGGAGAACAATTTTTGGATGAAACTGTAAATTCCTTGAAGTCAGGGACTATGTCAGTCATATTTGTTTGATCAACCCAGAGCATTGAAACCAGTTTCTTGCAATGGTGTAGTCCATGAAAATGGGTAGTGTTTATATTAGGAGGAGAATATATATTCTTGTTAGAGGAAAGAAGATGAGCCACAGTGCAGAGTAGGAACTGTTCAAGTTGTTGGGGACAGTGGATCAGGTAGGGAATAGATTTGACTAAGAACAGAAGGTTCCACAGGAGAAGAGCAACGTATAATACAGACTTGTACACTGACATTCAACAGCGGAAAGACTCAAATGTCAGAAATGTGCAGTGGCTTGGAATTCATCAGGACACTAAATCATAGGTGAGCAGAACAGCAAGTAAATAGTCCTTAGCTTCTTTAAGAGATTATGGTCACTGACCAGGTCATAGAGTTTTCCAGAATAGCCACTGGTAGTTGGTTTACTCAGATCCCAGAGTGGTTTCAATTAAAGTTCCTAATACCTGTAACACGTAAATCATGACCCATTGCATTTGACGGAGAGACTAGTTATTGTCACGTTAGGAACCAACACGATTGATTACCGCACAGGCTCCCGAAACAGTTGACTGAAAGGGTCAAACCATGCAACTGACCCCTCGGAAGTGCTGGGGTATCACATCCAGTTGGCAGCTAACAAACTTGAAAAGAATAAATGGTGCTTGTGGGGATGGAAACACAGTTCTTGTGCAGGTTCTGCTCTAATAGCAATTTCATTAAGGTCCCTGTTTTTCAAAGTGTTAGTTTCTGACTTTTAGGGGAGAGGAAACTTATCCACATTAATCAGCCAAACTCCACAAGGTTCTCCATCTGCCTTATCTTTAACACCCTTCGAAGGTCCTCTCAGACCAGCAGCAGCAAACGAGAGAAAAAAGTCAGCCAAATGATAAATCATTGTTGGAAAGTTTAAATGCCCAAGTCATAGTCTAAGGAATATAGCTGACATCTTGTGTAGCACAAATCCTCAAAAGCAGCCTCCAGCCAATGCCATTAATGTGACCCAGCCTCCCTGGGGAGAGACATTCAAGAGGGAAAAAGGCAAGGGAAGGCCCTGTGAGGAAATGATTCTGTAAATCTGCGCTCTTGGCGAAGAGCACGCCTTAAGAGAACACTGCAGGGGCCAAACCCGGTCCATCTGGAGCCAGCAGGGAGGTGGGGGCGGGAGCAGCTGGGGCAGAGGACCCGGCTCTAGGTGGCAAATGCAGCAGCAAAAGGAGCACTCAGGCCAGGACTGGCTGACAGGGAGGGTCTGGGGAAGGAAGGGCCTGGAAAGGGAGCAGTGAATACGTTAGATTCAGCATATTATAGGAGTGCAGGGAAAAGGAAATGAGGTTTCCATCTGCCTCACAATGCTCCCCATTCCCCCCATAGTGCCTTGCTCTAGCTGAATGCATGCTTTGACATCAGACCCTCCTGCAGCCCTGCTGACTTCCTCTTCCTGGGGACGTGCACGCAGAGGGAGACGTATTCACATCCACATTGCCAGGCCACATGCAAGCTCGGGCACTTAGCGGGTAGTCAGCAGATGCACATTGTGCTGCACATTCACTGAGTGACGGATAGATTGAAAGGATAAATGGCTGATAAGATCTTAGTCTGGCAATAAACATGTATTCCAGCTAAAGCCTGGTGCAAATGAAACTTTATGAAAATCCAATAGCTCACGGCGGCACCCAGGCCTTCCTCTGCTTGTTGACTTTTTCAGCTTGTGCTATTCCAGGTGTGTCGGTAGAAATTTGGGAGGGACCAGACACATCCAATTTGATTAGGAGGGTGGTAGGGAGAAGAAAATAATAATGAAGTAGAACTGAGAAAAGGAGGCGGCAGGGGTGGGACAGATTCATTTTGAGCGAGATTTTATGAAAAAGGTGCAAATTAGATGCAAAATGGAGAAGCAGAAACTGACATTAATTGCCTGCTCTGTGCCAATTTCTGTGCCAGGGGCTCTCCCTGCATTATCTCATATATTCCCCACAGCAATAGAACCAAGCATATGACGTAGCCCCACTTAACAAACGCGGAAACTGGAGGGCCCAAGAGGCTAAGTAAATTACGGGGGTTCACAGAGCAGGCAAGGAAGGAAACCAGGACCCAAACAGAGTTGTCTGCCCTCCCAAGTTCTCCACGGTGTCACCAGGCAAGAGTGTGGGGCCGGTGCTTTGGTTATGAGGAGGGCAGAACTGCTAAACGTGGTTCCCAGGTTATACTTTATCTCTAGGAAAGTAAGTTCAGTGGAAAGTGGGACATGGGGCTTGTAGACATACATAAGCAAGTCCCTAGACAGCCACTTACCTGAATATTTTATCAGAAGGCTGTTCTCCCAGAACCAGGTCAAAGCCCCGCTGAAATATTGTGTAAGGCCAAGGCCTGAAAGGAGAAACATCATTCAATTAAAATCAACTCCACCAACACTCTCAGAACATCTGCTTCGTGTGAGAGGCACCATGCTGGGTACTAGAGACCCAGAGACAGAGAAGACCTCACCCCTGCCCTCCAGAGACTCCCACTGACAGGAGCTCACACAAGACCCTGAATGGAACCAGACCAAGAACGGTTTCAACGTAAAAATCACTGAACCACTAGGAAAGTGGGATGTCATGGGTAGGACAACCACAACTACATAGAGAGTGAAATGATATTAAGGTGGACCTCACGTAGCTGTAATTCATGGTCCTTCCGACGTAGACCTAACAGACAGACACTTAGATTTGCCTCACTTAAAAAAAGAGGAGCAGCATGATGTCTTGGGAAAGATGAAACCTCTGGAATCAGACAGTTCTGGGTTCAAACACTGTTCTGCTGTTGACCCAACTGGCTTACTGTGGACAGCTTATTTGCCTTGTGGAGTCTAATCTCCCCTTTGGTAAAAATAGGGTTAATAACGGCTGCCTCCAGACCACTGTGAAGATGAAGCAAACCTCTTAGGCCAAAGCCACAGCTCCCACGGGGTCCTCAACATGCCCCCTTTCCCTACTCAAAATGACACGAGGATTCTGGGTCTTTGACAGGTTCCAGATGTTTTCAAACCTTTGAATGTCATTCGTTCAAGCAGAAACAACTGAAATCGTGTTTTAAAATAATTCTTAACTACAAGTCTCCCTTGTGAGCTTCTAGGTTTTGTCACCTATACTTGAAAGTTCGCAAAACTATTTCATTTAAGTAGTACATATCTTTTGGCTAACCCAAATGTCTAACCCCAAAATTATTTACTCAAAATTATTTGAGCTAGACTTAGTGAAGCCCGGGATTGTGTTGGGTATTAGATATCGTACGTCCTGGATGAACTGAGCCCTTGTTCCCACGGAACTCCGTCTCAAAATTGACCCAAGGATTAAAGATTTTACTGTAGACATGCCTTTGGTTTTCACGAACCAGAAAAAGTCAGCAGAATAAATTGACATAATTATGATTTGGGGCTAATGCTGGGAACTAACCCAGGGGTTGTCAATGTGGGTGATATCACCCAGTAGAGTGCATTTGGGGACATTCATGGTTGTTCTTTAATAACACGAGCTTGGGGGACATTGCTGGCATTTAGAGGGGAGGGCTAGAAGAGTACAGTGCTTAGGATAGCTCTGCGTAAAAAGGCATTTCCATATGTCCTGCAAACTACTGAATATCTCACTAAACATTCACATAGGTGGAAACTTGCCTATCGTGACCTGAGCCAAGATGCTAACTCCATTTACATATAAGCACAAAGCAGCTTGTACTGTTTTGATATATGACACATTTTCTACTTGCATAACTACCATGTAAATCAAGGGAAGATGATACATCATTAGAAATTTTACCAAGATTTGTTCATAAGTTTGGAAAATGATATCATTGTCCACAATGCTCTTCATGATTTTTGAATCATCCATACAGCACATCTGGATCAGTCTATACTGCTCTTACCTATATTGTATATCATATATTATTTTACATATTACACTATGATGAATCAACATCAGGTTGCAAATGTCTGTGAAGACTATTATTTCTCTTATCACAGTACTACCACAGCATTTGCACATTAAAATGGTTACTCTATGATTATAAATTACTTTCTTTTTATTTCTCTTTTAATCACTGTTAAGGCATTATATTTATAGTTGAAATCTTGCACATGTAGATTTTATTATTTATGAATTTCATGGAAGGATTATAAATGGGGTTAAAACAATTTATTATAAAACAGGGTGTTGGGTCTGATAGGGTTGAGCACCACCAACTTAACTAGTTTACCAATTAACTAGCCAAAGGAGTCAATAGTTGCAAGGGAAGCCATTAGCACTACATAAGGAAGTGGCTGGGATGAATGCATCTGCTTTTTATGCTTACTATTTATAAACACTTCATTCCTGGAATTCAATTTAGAAATACCCTGAAGCAACTAGAATTGGCTCCAAAAAGTACCCCACCCTGTGTCATGAATAACCCCTGCATCAAATAAACAGTTCTCCCCCTTGTGTTTTTCATGTCTGTTCTCTTTATTGGAGGTGAACCCACAGAGAGGGGTTTGAATATGATTCTTTTTTGCTGAACAGCAAGTGGTGGCTTATGGGCAGCTAAAAATTATGTATTAATTCAAGAAAAAGTCTAGAAGTCATGAGGAAAAAAGTCCCCCATGATCCTTGACACCTACTGAAAGGGCAGTGGAAAAAGAGGGACATGTAACTTTATCTCTCTGTTGGGCAAAATCACATTTTATTTACTATCCGTTTAGTAATTTTAAATAACATATATTTTGCCTTCGAGTCATCTCCAGTACTCAAAACTGGTACAATGTGTAATTAGAGTTAATTCTTGGCTTGGTTCCTAGGTTGTTTGAAAATATATTTTGAGGAGCCAAATTTCAGGACTGGCGTTGATTACAATGTGAACAATTAACTGCGTAGAATAACATAAATAAACCTGTATTCAAGCCATAGGTAATAAATCAGTGAGCCCACCGATTAAGCACACATCAGCATGTCGCTAGGTAGGTCAGACCAAAGAGCCCTCCTGTTCTCAAGGGGCCTGGAGATTGAGAAAGACAACCCAAATTCCAAGGGCGCAGACGTGCAGGGTAGAACTTGCCCAGATCACAATGAGAGGCGGCAGGGTACAGCAATTAGGACATGGGTTCTGGAACCTGCCTGCCTACTTCCAATTCCAGCTTCACCACCAATCACTGTGTGATCTTGAGCAAGTCCCTTAATCATTGTGTCCCCATTTCCTCACCTGCAAAATGAGGTTGATGGAAACAATTATATCTGTGTGGCAAGGCTGTCATGAGGAGGAACGCTTTAATACAGCCTAAGTGTTCAGAACGGTCTCTGGCATTTAGGGAGTGTCCTACAAGCATTTGCTAAAAAAGTTAAATGTATCGGTTACCCAAATCAAATATAAATACTTTAGTAAGGAGATTCCCTAATTTCTCTGTAGGAAGAGGTGTCTTGCCTTGTGGTGCAAACGCAATGGTAACACCAGGCTTTAGCTCAGATTGTGCACGTATGTGTGTTGCCTGCCATGTTCATCATTACCTAGGATGAACATGGGAACACCAAAGCTCCCTGCCCCCCACTGCCCACCCAGCCATCACTTTGCAGGACAGTGATGATACAGTACTGACGTTAAATACACAGAGAGGGGGTTAGGGCATCCTGTGAAATGGTGAGCGTTGCAAACTGCTCTAGCAAAGGAATAAAAGAGAATTTATTCATCTTCTTCCCACTGGTCAAGGATGATCCGTCAAAGAGATGGGGATTCTTGTTTGATTTATTTAGCAAATATTTATGGAGGGCCTATTGTGTGTGAACTGTGATACTAGGCAACAGGAGTTGGGATAAAGAGATTCTTGCCCTCAAAGGAATCTACAGTCTTTCTGAAGAAACCCATATATGTCCAGGCAAACAGAAGGGAACAAGTAAACGGGAAGGGGAATGGAGTTCCGGAAGGTAAGGTAGGCGGTAGAGCAGCGGTAGAGCACTGGGAAGGCGGGGGGTTGGCGGTGCCTGGAACAGTAGCAGCGGGGAGCTGGGTGCACATGAGTGGAGAGGCTCCAGGGGCCCATCGAGGCCACACGGGAAAAGGCAGGGGTAACACGATGAAGAGCTGGACGTAACAGCACCAGAAACACTTGGGAGCTGAGTTACCCATGACTACCTGACAGCGGAAAGGCCTCCGTATCAGGGCTGTCTGGGTAGAGGTCCAAGTCAGAAGCCCATCACTGAGTCCTATATCCAGGCTGAAACAGACGTTGCCTAAGGGATGCTTGGAAACAGGGCCCCATGGCCCTCCAATGGTCCCTTTCTTTTTTTTTTTTTTAAATCTTTTTTTTTTAAGATTTTATTTATTTATTTGACAGAGAGACAAAGCGAGAGAGGGAACACAAGCAGGGGGAGTCGGAGAGGGAGAAGCAGGCCTCCCACCAAGCAGGGAGCCCGATGCGGGGCTCGATCCCAGAACCCTGGGATCATGACCTGAGCCGAAGGCAGACGCTTAATGACTGAGCCACCCAGGCGCCCCCCAATGGTCCCTTTCTTTTCTTTGCTTTGTTTTTCACTCTTCAGGTTTTATTCTCTCAAAATGGCTAAAGCACATGGTGGAGACTTGGCCCCAGTGGCGGCAGCTCATGTCTTTAGAGGTTCACACCACGGAGGGGATGCTCCTCCTCCTCGTTAGGAAAGCATAACCCATGGAGGAATTGCTTGACGTGCCCGGAATCAGAAGAGCCACCTGGACCAATCTCTGGGTCCGGGGAAGGAGAGACATCTAAGCAGATGCAATTCTCATTTGGGTTTTAGGGCTTGAGCTGGGAGGGGGAGTGAATGTCAAAGAGAATAAATAATAATTTCCACCTCAGCCTCTATTTGCTTGCGGTGCAAAAGTGCTGCCTCCATCAGAAGTGGGTGGCATCCCTGAGCAGATCGTGCCAATATTAGTTCTGTGGAAAGAGCGCGAGGCCGTGGAGTTGCCCAAGGATAGCATCAGGCCGGGTGTGGGCACGAGGTTGAACCTTACCGTTGGAAGGAAACTTCACTCTCTTGACTCCAAGAGAGTCCTGCGCTGGACAAGCCAGTCACAGCTTGTTCGTTGAGGAACATTAGCAGCTTCAGAAGTCAGAATAGAGTTTATCTGTTGGTTAATTTCTGCATTCTGACCAATCAAGCCCTTGAAGGCTGCCCCCCCCCCCATTGTGGGCAGCGACAGATGGCCTAGATTCGGGGGCAATCGCAGGCCAGCATGACAACCAGGTGGGAGCCATGGCCTCAAGCAGGAGCAAAATCCCTGCCGCAGTAATGGACACACAGCAGCCTGCGGGACACACACCCAAACTGGGGAAGCTGGGAACTATTAGTCATCTTTTATTTGTCTTTTCCTTTCTCCCCATCTCACAC